TGTGCCTTCATTTTCTCTGCTTAAAAAAATTGAGTGAATTCATTGCCATGTTTAAGTGCTTAAAGATGAAAACCATCAAATCCATTAAATCTGTGAAAACAGAAGAAGGGATGGATGAGGTAGGAAGAGGTTGGATAAAATTTTCAAAAGCATCTAAGTGCCCTTTTAAAAATTGATGCAGGCACTTAGTTTAATTGTCAGATTCAGTGTCAAATTGTTCTTGGGGTATTTCTACACTAGCACATTTTTTGATAGTTCCAGCCATTTCAGGAGTACTAGTGGAAGTGTCTCTTTAGCCAAAGCTCTTGCAGTTTTCAGATTATAACAGATTGTGATTAAACCTGCCAATGTAAAAATGGTCAGAGGCTGCCAGAGCCTTGTCTGAGTTAGGACTCCCTATAAAGCAACTGCACAGGTGTAAATGGTTTTCTAAAATTCCATAGTGTAGATTAGGCCCTGCTGACAACCTCACATGCTGTCTGCCACTGAGGCAAGTAAGAATCTTGAGATTTCACATGCAAAGTATTTGCAACACTGTTGTGTGTGGCAGTGCAGGCTATGGAGTTTGGATAAATCATCTTTGGAAAACCAAAATCGAATGTAATCAAACAAACTTCCTCTAAAAATGTCAGTAGAACTTAATAAAAAGGCAATATGCTCTGGACTGCTTCTGTAGTAAGTTTCTCCTTCCATCCCCAACAATTTGATCAGCTCCTGCCTGACCTTGATATTTCGTTTGGTAGTAATGAGGCCATCCCTAGAAGTTCCTGATGGGTACCTTAGCTCTTGGGCTCTCAAAGCCTGAAATTGTACAGGCAAGTTACTTGGCCTTGGGAATGGTGGGGAAGGAATAGCAGCTTGTGTGTCTGGTATCTTCTAGATTTTTGAGCCCTCCCCTTTGGGGAGAGGGTATGTTCCCATTGTTGACAAACTTTGAGCCTGGATTAGGGATTTCTTTTCCAAAATGGGTTAGTTGACTGCCATTATAATTGAACTGACTTAGATCAAGTGTGGAGACGCCACAAGCTCGGCATTGCTATTAGCCACTTTCCTGGGACAATCGCAGAGCTCCTTATTAGTGTCTGCAGGTTCATCTGGTTTTAAACCCCTCCTCTGTGGACCTAGGCTTACCTAACTGTTGAAAGACTAACCTAGATGTAATTGAGTCAAAAGAACTCAGGATAGTATGGAGAGGCACTGACCACAATCGGCCCAGGAAGAGAGAGGGACATATAGTGTTATCTGATGTTGCCATCAGTGTACGCTGAGAGACTTCTGTGTTGCTTGGCAGCCACTTATCAAAAAGCTCATGTCTTTTTTTAATTAAACTGTACCTTTTATTGATCTAAATTCTTCCACAAACAAAGGTGAAATAAAGATAGTTGTGAAAGTTTCTGAGTTGTGATGGTTTATAAAAGATTAAGTCCCTGAGATGAAAGTGGGATTTTGATTTAACTTTAAAAATGTCTGCTTTTACAATGACCATGCTGTTCAGAGTAATCACTAGGGCACATGCTTTTTCCTTCTTCACAAACCCTATTTTAGTTTCATGCTTGGAAGGTATTTAGTGTCTGAGCTGGGCTCATTGGATGAATTATAAAAGCAAAAATGAATTCTTCTGGTCAAATTTGCAGTTGCAAGAGAGACCACTTGGAAGCAGTTCTGGGACTATTCATGACAGACTCATTCCACAGATGTGAATACAGTATACCATAGGGTTAAGGTCCTGCACATATCAGGTGGTTTTCTCACACTTGAAAGTGAATTGTAATCTAGTTCTGATGGAGACTCCAAATCATTAACAAAATTGTGTAAATTCAAATTAGACACTGTTGAAAGTAGGCTGTGACCTATTTTCTTGATGTACTTGGGAAGATCCAAGGACAGAGGTCTTTCTCTTGCAGCTGTTTATAAATTTACTAATCTCTTTAGGGACTGTCACTGTGCTTTCAAGGGAGGTGCTAATAGGCTGCATCCATTTCTGACTGTTATCTCAAGGCAACACAGGGAGCTTTACTTACTGTGTTTTAGCTGTTAATATTGCCATTTGGGGCGGACAACGCTGAGCTCCTGGCAGCAGACATTTTTTTAACAGTGTTATAGCACAAGTGCCCTTGTTTGCCAAACACAAAGAAAAGATGTTGGTTGCAGGGTTCATTTGAAAATCTTTCCCTTGCATTCAAATCTTTTGAATCAAAAGTTATTAGGGGGTTTGCCCCCCTGCTTAATGCACAGGGGGGTAGGCAACCCCAGCCCTCCCCCCAGTCACCGGTGAGGGCCAGGCTGTGGCCGTGCTAGCTCGGGCCCCTTCTCTTTCCTCCTCCGCTTTGCCAGCCCTGGGCCCCTTTTCCCTTTCTCCCGCCCCTGCCAGCCTGGGCCCTTTCCCTCCCTGACTCTGACCCCACCCCGGCACACCAGGCTTGGCTCTCTCACTCTGGTGGCCAGGGAGGTTCAGGGGTGCCTGCTCCACCCCATGTGGGGCACAGGTGGTGCCATGTGCATGCGGCATTCCAGAGCAGTGCAGCCTGCTGAGGTGGGGAAAGCAGCTGTGCGGGCAGCACTATCGTGACCTTTCCTCTGTGCGCTTCCTCCTGCATTACTCTCCGCTCAGCCCTGCCCGCCGGGCCACCCGTCCACCCACTGGGAGCGGAAGGGAAGGAGCAGACAGGTCAGTGAGGCAGTTCCCCTGGGTTGCTTTGGCTGCTGCGGTAAGTGCAGCTGCTGGGGACGAGTTAGTCTTCTCGGGGGCAGCCAGACTCTGGGTAGCCGGGCACCGCGCTCTGGCTCCCCAAGAGCCTGCTGCTGGCACATAAGCCCGGCTGGGAGCCCTGCTCCTAACGCCTGTCCCTGGGCTGCTGTCCCAAGCACCGTATCCTCTGCCCCGCCCAGCTCTGGGGCTCTCAAGACTGATATGGGGTTTACTGACTACTGTGCCATGTTTCTTCACGTTGAAAGCCCTTTGGGGTGGAGGTGAAGGAAGGGGAGTAGGGGCTTGGTTTACAATAGCAATTCCAAGTGGCAAGGGAAGCAGTGAGGTTGGGCTTGGTGGGGGTGGGGGAGGCAGGTGGGATGCAAAGTGACATAACAGTCACTCTGTCATCCTGCAGGAAGAACTTTTTTTAGTATATAGAGAGATGAGATACTACTCTTGCGCAGTGTGCCACTAACCATTCTCCCCTGATAGATGCTAGACTCCACAATAGTTTTGAGTCACTGGAAGATGCTTTGTTGATGTGCTACAGTATTTCCTGACACCATATAGCCCAGGAAAATACTCTTGCCTTGTTAACTGTGGTGAGACTTCAGTATCCTATCTGCACTTGATCATTAAAACCTAGAAAGTAAGATATAATAAGACTTTTGATAACGTTTTTGTAGTTTGACCTAGCCCATCCCACCAGACTATATAGTCAGGGCTTTTTGGTATGAGTCATACAAAAATACCTCGGTGCTCCACAGCCAATTCCAATACTTACGGGTCACAGAGCAAGCTAGTTATGGAGTTACAGCAAAATAAGTTGGAGACAATATTTCTTTTGCTGCCTTGGCTCATCCTGCTTGAAATGGTGTTACTGCTTAATTAGGTCACTGGCTGTCTTTTTTACTCCTCGATACAATGGGAAACAGCAGGACTGTATAAAGGCCAGAAGACCTACCTTCTGTCTCTGGTAAATCCAGCATAATGCATTTTTTTTCTTATTTTTACTTGACTTTGTCTTATGGTCTTTTTTAAAAATGGAATTTAATTGCTGTAGCTATTTCAGTAAGCTATGCGCCTCTCATTTATAGAGAAGCCTCTTAATGCTGTGGGATTTATTATGATGTATAATAAAATGTTCTAAAGTTAGTGAAATTAGAGCATGGGAGATTGCAGAAATAGTTGTCCCTGTTAGTTTTAGACCTCCTGCTGCTAGATCTGACACTTACATAAATTCACTCCGGGTTCAGAAGGAAAACACAAGTCACTAAATATTCCCCTTTTTTTGGAGGCAGCTGGTTTCAATTGAAGAAATATAGTTTTTTAAGAACTATCAAGTCTCGTTGTCTTGAGGGAATTAAGATGGTCAGAGAGGAAAAGCTTCCTCATAACATGTAGTAGTGGGGTGGCACTCGAGCCCACCAATCTGCACTCTACAAGTTGATGCCCTATCCCTGAGTTCACACTCCACCTCTCTACTTGTTCCTTAAGCTGCCAGCTTAAAGCAGGCACCAGGGGGGGAGAATGGGACTGGAGCAGCTGAGTGGGGGGCAGGATTCAAACCCCCAATCCTGGTCTCCCCAGGTGAAAGCCCTATCCCCTAGGCCACACCTACAGGTGTTTATAGAGGGAAACTAAGGCCATGTATGTCTACATTGAGAATTTGCCCTATTTTCAGCCAGTGTCCTAGGTGTGCACTGCAATACTCTAGTTTAGGCTAGAGAAAACCATTAAGTGCACTGGGGCAGCCTTATCCTGGTTTCAGGGGTATAGATGGGGCTTATAAATGATTTATCCTGTGTAAGCTGGGAGTTTGGACTCTGGCAGTTTCACCAGTAGCTGACATCCCCAATAAAGAGTATAGAAGGTCAAAAAGAGCCAAAAACCAACAGAAGAACATGCAGTCATGTTGATTGTCTATTAGCTATATGACAACAGGCAGAGGTGAGTTGCTGGAAATGTATGTAATGACGCCCCTGGTGAGTTCATCTGTGAGGGTTGAACCACAGGATATTGGATCTTAAAAGCAGCTCCAGACCCATTAGCTTAAAGGCAGTAAGTAGCAGATTCAAACATCTGTATGTGATCTAGCTGCTAGAGGGAGACAGGTGGCGTTTTAGCATGTGTTACATGTAGATTTCAGTAGATGGGTCAGTTCATGTAGGTTAAAGAATGCAGGAGGTAAATGCAGGCAGTGGGATAGGGTAGAGAGGGCAGGTATCCTTTTTTGCCAACTAATGGTGATCAGCTGGTTTCAACTCTTGCCTATTGATATTGATTTTTGTCTCCAACTTTCTTCCAGGGTTTCCACGGTCCTTATCCCTTTGGACAGTCTTAAAAACAAACAAACAAAAAACAAAACGGGTATCGTCAAGAGGAGAGTTTGACAAAGAACTTACTCAAGAGGGATGTAGGGGGGTTCTTATGGCTTATAGAAGATACGGCATGGACCCCCTTCTCCACTTCTGCAACCTGGATAAAGAAGAAAACAAACAAACCAATAATTTAAGACTAGTGGTTTCCAGAGGAAAACAAAACTAAAGTATGCATGTGTGAATGCTGAATTTCAGGAGTGCTGTTCAATGCTACGAGAGAGAGAAAATATACCAACACCATGGGTTTTTTTTAGAAGTCATTATCACAATTGATTAGGTAGCTGAAAAAGTTTAAGAAAAATTAAAATGAAAGCCATCTTTTTAAACGAAAAACAAAGAATTATTTTGCCTACAGAGCGGTTGTAGTTTGAGCAAATGTTTAATATTTTTGTTTGTTTCCTGTTCATAATTTTTTTAATAAGGGACAGAGTGCATTTTTATGGAACTGTTGTGTCTGCTTGCTACAGTACGGGAGCTCGCTTAGCGTCTTCTGGAGCTTATGCAGTGTGTTGGATGTTTTTAATGTGCGATTGGGCCAGCACCCAGCTCTGTGAATTTCAGTGACATCAGCTGTTTTTAGTTATCAACCTTTTAATCTTCTGATTTGTCTGTTTCCCACTTGACCTTAGTGTTTTCAGTAACCTCAGTCAAGACCAAACTCTTGCATCAGAATGAGGGGGGAGATTCCAGAACTGAATTAAGATAACCTGGAGGTTCTTTTTTCTCTTGGAACTTGAAGTATACATACACATGTTTAAGGCAGAGACGGATTTACTAAAGTTCCAAAGGTGGTCCTTAGTGGTTGGTATTTTAAAATGCTGTTTTGTTGTCTGATACTGATGTCCAGTAGCTGTGCCTAGGACAGCCAGGCAAGTGTATCTGTCTTGTGCCAAGAGGAAATTAACTTTCTGTAGCTGTAGTTCACCAAACAGTAATTATAAAGTTATGCAAAGGTCATGTCCCTTTAGATTTAAACCTCATATCCATACCCTTTATAGAAGTATAATTTTAATTCCTCTCTCCTGTGATAAAGTACTAGCTTAGGAGGCAGAGGCCAGTTGTTTTTGAATGTAGAGCAAGAATTTGAATCATCAGCTGAGTTCCACAGTAGCGCCTTGTATTCTTGTTTTGCCTTTTTACTGGCCTGTAGCTTCTTTGAGGTTCTAGCTTTCTAGATGGATCTCATCAAGTCTCCTGTTCACAAGAAGAAGAACTCTTCTGGTCACGAGTCACTTAGCTGTGGGCGTCCGCAGAGGAATGGGAGCCATGGACAAAAGAGACTGTGCAGAGCAATTGTGTAGGGTGGTGACGTTCTGGTTCAGATTTTTGAGGTGTTGGGTCACTGTTAGCCAAGCAGCCTGGGTACTCGGGAAGAGAATGGGTTTTTTGGGGGGAGGCGCTGATTCAGAAACTTAAGCCAGGCCGTAACAGCCATCTGCCAAAGATACAATAATATGCAACGCCCCCCATCATCCTCTTCTAGCCCCCCAATCCCAAGCTATCCACCCATGTTGGGAGCTGAGTGCTCATTTTACTTGCTGAAGGTGATGCAAGGCTTTCAGCAGGCCCAAGCAGCAGTGTTTGCTTCATTGACTTAAGGGTTCCATTTTCAATGCACTTTCCATGGGCCCTGTTCCCCCAGGCTACGTGGGCAGCTCCTGTTGAGGCTAATGGGGAATGGTTGGTATTATGCCAAGGAAGAATTAGTTCACTGGTGAGGCATTTGGATTCGTGTAGTCTCTAGGTCCTGACATTGCTCCATTAGTGAGTGGCTAATACTTTAGTTGCCTATTAGACCCAGAATTTCTAAGGGCATGTTCCCTTTTAAGATTGGAAGTCTCCCTTCCATACTCTCTAAATACATGTGCGAGGCTGTAAGGGATTGCCCTTTGAATGAAGAAGGAGGAGGAGTTTTGAAGGAAAGTCCTGTCTGACTTGGAGAAGGGGTGCAGCTTGCCATTGTGATTTGAATGCAATTTAGGAGGTGTAGGCTGCTTGGTTAGCTCTAGTCATAAGACCCTGTATGTGTCTTGTAAAAATCCCTCTGTCTGTGGGTGAGGTTTTATTCATCTCTCAAAATGAAGCAAGTATGTAAACCTTCATGGTAAAGTGTGGGTGAAGTTTGAATTATCGCAACAAGCATGCGAGGCCTCAGCACGTGCACATCTGGTACCCAGCATGCAGCATCTCCCCACTTTTCCCATGTGTCCCCGAAGTGTTGCTGTTAGTCGAGTTGCCATACTTCTCATTGGTCTCTTCTCATCAGCTCCATCCAGCTGCCACCACTGGGCCCAGAGCTCTACAAGCCTTGTACTGGCAAGGACGGCGGTTCAACCCTCAAAACCAGCTCACCAGATTCTCATTTTCTTCTCAGCTGTTCCCAGACCTGTAGGCTTCACCCAGCTAAACCAGTGGCCATGTTTGTTGCCTGTCACTACTGCAAAGATGATGTTTTGTTCCCATTCCTAGAGAAAGCTAGTGTCTACCCCCAGTTGTTCTTGTGCCTTCTCAGAAGACTGTGTCCATTCTGCACACATCTCCGTGTTGTCTCCTCTCTTGAGCATATCTTAAGTCTACTTTGTCCTTGTGATTGGGACATTCACAGAGGGAAGAAAGGGTAGGGCCTGATTTGAGCTGCAGCTTGCAATAAGTCAGCCTGTTAATGTTGGCCTATTACATCTGTTTCCTAGGGAATGAGTCTCAAGCATAATCACCACCATTATCAGTGGGGATAATTACTCTAGAAATAGCTGCAAAAGGCTCATAAGTGTTTCAGTGTGTTGGTTAGTGTGATAATCCGTGTGATGATGATGATGGGCGGATGTTTAAATTGGTAATTACGCTGCCTCCTATTTCTTCTCTCTGTGAAAACTGAGTCCCCTGGTGCTCAATGCACCCAGTCCCCAAATTTAAGCTACTATTAAGTTGGCAACATTTTCAAAAGAGAATTCGGGGTGCTGGGCGAAAGTCAGTCACACTTAGGACTGAAATTGCATTGCTTTCCTTGAACCAATATTTTTAAGATGGGGGGAGAGGCTAAAGTTTGGCACCTAAACCAAAAAATCCAAAAATGCTGAGCTCCCACGTTTCTAATTCACCTTAGCAGGGGACTGTGGATGCAGAACCTCTGAAAACCAGACTGAGTGACATGCCTAATTTTAGACTCTCAAGTGATAAAATGGAATCTCAGCTGATGATACCCTTGCCCAGAAGTCTCATAGGTAAGAGACTCTATGCCATGTTACCCAAGCCTGGCTGGTGTCTCTAACTTTGGAGAGTGGGGGGAAGGGGAGGAAGAGAAAGGGCTGGTACCCAGTGGTCTGAGAGACCATAGCTATGGAGGGGCTTGAGTTGACTCTGATCCCCAGCTGCTGCTGTTGTGGGGGGAGGAGGGGTGTTTGGGGTCCTCAGAGGGCATGACAAATGGAGAACAATTCAAAAAAGGGAGTTTGAATTTCCGATACATAGTGGGGTTTTTCAAGCATAGTGTGAGCTGCTGAGTCCAGAAATGCCTGGTAATCCTGGTGTGTCCCAATGTAACTCAAGTCTGGTTGGAAAAATACCCTGTCCCATGGCTGGGAAAGCGTGCGCAAGCTTTGTGTCCCTCTTGCTGGAAATGCAATCTGTATCTGGGAATAAGTGTCTAGCCAGCTTTGGCATGATGGAGAGAAAGTATCTGCTGCCCTGTGTCTTGAGAGGAGCATATGTGTGTATGTGCAAGAGGGAAGAGTGCATCCTGAAACCTATAGGACCTGCAAGTGTAATCCCAGCCCCCTGGTTGTGAGTATAATCTGAGTCTGCAGGGCTAGGAAATACACACTGTCCCCTGTTTCTGTTTTTTTTTTCTTTTCTTTTAGTGTGTGAGGTGAGTGGTTGGTTCTGCAGCCTGTCTTTATTCTCTTTGGAGGAGTGCATGTGTAGAGCAGGATGGTGTGTTGCCTCATTGAGTCTGGGAGAAGTCCAATGATAGCACATTGGGGGTAATAAAGGAAGTTTTTCCTTTAATGTATAAATGAATATTTGTATGATTAAATTAACACAGAAAAAATTACCATCAGCTGTCTATAGAGTTTTATTGAAGGTGTGAGCAGTTTCTAGTTTTCTGTGACCTCTGCAATGTTTTTTAAATGCAACTCTCTTGCTTCCTTCCCCAGATCTTTGGGGGTGCCGGGCAGACATAAAAAATGTGCCATACATCTCAACATTACCTTTCCTTTTCCCATGAATAAATTTGAGGAGAACATTTGAGAGGAAATTAATTCAGGGTGCATTGGATGCATGAAATAAAAAAAACCTAATTTTCCAGTCCAGATATAAATGCCAACAAGAATAAACACTGGAGGAAGGATCCTTTAAAAGACAGATGGCTTCACATGGGAGTTGACCTGGAAAAGAACCAGTTAGAAAGGATCCTGCAAAAAATTTTCATGCAGGTAGATCCCCAATGGGACTCCACCTGGATACAGAGTGCTTTTGTGGGATAGTTTACAGAATTTGGGCAACTACTTTTTTACAAAATGCCGAGGCAGATATTCCGGGGGAGTTCTCTGTCCTAGGGGGAGAGCATGAGAGCAGAAGCTCCATCATTCAGTGACTTTCAGACTTTGTCTACATTGGCCGTTGAACGACACAGCTTTGTTGTACTCAGGTACTTTGAAAGATAAAAGCTGCCAACAGAGCAAACCTCTCATGGGGGTGGGGGTGTGGAATGTTTTTGTCAGCAGAAGTGCCAACAGACAGTGATTGTACTGCCTGACTTTTAGCGACACAGATGAAGTTCAATAAGGATAAAATACTCCTTTGAGGGAGGAATAGTCAGTTTCACACATATAGAATGGGAAGTGACTGTCTAGGAAGGAGGACTGCAGAAAGGGATCTTGGGGTCATAGTGGACCACAAGCTAAATATGAGTCAACAGTGTGACACTGCTACAAAAAAAACCAAAAAAACACTCTGGGATATATTAACAGGAATGTTGTGAGCAAGACATGAGAAGTCATTCTTCTGCTCTACTCTGTGCTAATTAGGCCTCAGCTGGAGTATTGTGTCCAATTCTGGGCACTACATTTCAGGAAAGACGTGGAAAAATTGGAGAAGGTCCCGAGAAGAGCAACACAAATGATTAAAGGTATAGAAAACATTACCTATGAGGGAAGACTGAAAGAATTGGGTGTATTTAATCTGGAAAAGAGAAGACACAGAAAGGACATGATAGAAGCTTTCAAGTATCTGAAAGGCTGCTGGAGGGTGAAAAATTATTCCCCTTAATCTCCAATAGGGCAAGGAACCATGGACTTAAATTTCACCAAGGGAGGTTGAGGTTGGACATTAGAGAAAAACTTCCTAATTGTCAGAGTGGTAAAGCACTGGAATAAATTGCCTTGAGAGATTGTGGAATCTCCATCAGAGATATTTAACATCAGGTTAGACAGCCAGATGTCAGGGATGATTCTAGACGGTGCTTGGTCCTGTTGTGAGGGCAGGGGACTGGACTCGATGACCCCTCGTGGTCCCTTCCAATTCTAATGTTCTATGATTCTATGGTAATATTTAATACAAAGCCTTATGAATGAGGCATGTTCTTAATCTCCCAGAATACTGACACAGGGTCACCAGGAATGGTGTGACAGAGCTACAATAGATGCCCATGCACCCCTCACCCTCACAGCTGATCTGTTATGGTAATAAAGCGGTTTGTGCCTAACAAGAGGTTGCCACAAACATGCAGGCTCACTAGAGGAGCCTCAGCACTCTGTTACAGAGGGTTGGTGGCCTTCTCCTAGCAAAGGTGATGTCTCCTGGTTAAATCTGTCTTAAGCTGAAGCCTTTGAGTGATCTTCAAAGGTTAGCTTCAAGCAAATCATGGTTCTGTGGCTCAGCTGACAATGGTAAGTATTGTTACAGCAAGTATGGCCAACCTCTCATACTTGCAGAGAGAAGTGAAGTGGGGAGGGAAGAGAAGCAGCATGAGCTAGCAATCGAAAAGTAGCCCTAGAAAGTGGTGCAGAAGTTCTGACTTAGCAAGCCTCTTTCACAAAGGGTGGGATATGATCCACTTAAAGATGGAGCAGTTGCAAACTCAGCCAGTTCGAGTTGTTTTCTCTAGCTTCTGATCAGTATTCCTCCATCCCAATGACCCCAGTTACCTCAGCTGGTGCACTGACATTAAGGGATCTGCACTGATTTATAGCAGCTGGGTTGGTATTTTAGCTTGTTTCTGAGAAAGGGAGGCAGTGTGTGTGAAATTCATGCAAATTCATGCAGGTTAAGGCCTAACCTGTGGATAATTAAGACAAGGTGAGTGAGGTAACATCTTTCATTGAACCAATTTCTGTTCATGGGAGGGACAAGCTTTTGAGTCTCACAGAGCTCTTCTTGTGGTCTGGGAAAAGGGACAATTCGGACTGTGATCTGACCTGTGTTAGATTACGGGTTAGAGAATGTCTCCTAGTGAAGCCCAATACTCTGTCTATACAGTCTTTAGTTTGGAGCAGTTTAGTTGCAGCTATTTGCTTGCTTACATGTGGCTTCATTATTAATCCCTGTGAGACTTGTCAGTAGGATTTTTACGTCTGAATAAATGCTTGGCCCTTTTATATGCCATTTAGCCTTGTTTGAAAATTTTGCTGGGAACAGACATCCTGCTGCATATGCCCATAGCTATTTGTTCTCTGCCTGGTAATGAACACACCCCTTGACTCTGTGATGCTCCCAGTTGTTTTTAAACGCACTCTGTGTTTGGACAGATTGCAATCCCCCCTTCTCCCTGCTTACATTTCTTCACTAGTTATTTGCTTGAAATAATCTGTTTGTCTTTAGGGCTGCTACCTGTCAGGAGTTCGTCAAAGCAAGGTAGTCAGCTCACACCTTCATTAATGCACTGTCTTTGGAGCAGGACAAGTAATGCTGGCAATTGCGATAAAGCAGTCAGTTTAATGAGGCTGTATGTATGTTATGATACATGCATGGTAGGCCTGGGCTGTGGGTGTGGTCCAGGTTAGTGGCCAAGGCAAATAGTTGCATTAGAATCAAGTACTAATTTCTTTTTATAAAAGGACCAAGATTTTATTTGTAACATTCACGTTGTGGGTTTTTTTAAATACGGTTAATCCAGCCTCTCTGCATCAGGATGTTGAAATGATAGCTGCTGTGGTCCAACAGAAATCACCCATTCTGGTGCACTGGTATCAGCCAGTGCCTTATTGTGGGGAAAAGGGATTATTAGCTTGAGAAAGCATTAGTAGTTGCTGAGGTATAAGGTATAGGACTTAAAGGAATAGCAAACACTTTTGTGTGTCTGGCATCAATCACCCAAAACTTTGTTCTTTGCAAATACCCTTTGGCGGGGAAGGGTCATTGCAGTTTTGGAATGATTACAGAGTGAACACAAAAGTGATGTTGCAGAGCTTTGTCACACAGCAACCCTAGGATCTGTTCAGCCAAGATAAACTATACCAAAACCCCTCCTTGGAGCTAGGCACTGCAAAGGCTTAGTGGTCTGAGAGGTTGCCTGGGGTCACAACTGGAAACTGAAGTTGATTTAGTTTGTCATCCTAGGTCCACATTGTTATTCCTCCTCGCTAAGCTACGTCACGCATTAGGGGCAGATTCTTAGCTGGTGTAAATGATCAAATTTAAGTCCAGTCTATTGAAGTCAATAGCCTCTGACAGCCTTGCTCCATTTAAGTCAGTTCTGCTGATGATAATAAAATGCAATATTTACCCGGTTTCCACCCATCTGACAGCACTTTTAATGAGTAATGGGAGTCCAGGAATTTAACTACTAAAACGCATATCAACAGAAGACCATTATATATTAACTACAGGCAGTCCCCGACTTACGCGGATCCGACTTACGTTGCTCTGCCCCGTGCTTCCTGGAATCAGCTGCTGATCAGTTTCAGCAGCAGCTGACTTGGGGACGCCTGGGGTTCTTAAGTTGATTCTGTATGTAAGTCAGAACTGGCGGTCAGTTTCAGCAATGTCTGAATCTGGACCCCAGTTCCGACTTACATACAGATTCAACTTAAGAACAAACCTACAGTCCCTATCTTGTACGTAACCCGGGGACTGCCTGTACTTTTTTGTTTTGGCTTCACAGTTTTAACAAATCAAACAAAAACTACCAATACAATACTGTAATTTACTGGAGTATAAGAACAATCAATGTGAAGATTGTGTCTCCAAACTTTTCACCAGCTGTTTCATGTCAGGCTTGTATTCCATTGTAGCAGCATGGACACAGTTGGTCGGATGTCTGTCAATAAAAGAGGTGCTCAGTTTTGACTTGATTCCCATGGAGGAGAATGAACTTTCACAGACATGTAAACCTAAAGCAAGTTAGCATTTTTTTGGGCACACTTCAGTAATGCAGGGTACATGCCTTCCTGTACATAAGTCATCCAAAATGTTTCAGTGTCTTCCTTATGCCTAGCTTTTAGAATACTATTGTTTTTCAGTTCTATCATCTCTTCTTCAGATGTGGTCCTCTCAACACCAAATCTCACTGCTAAAGGTGAGACTGCCTTTACCTCATCTGAAAATGGATTTTCAGTAAAATTCAAGAACTGTCTTTGGGGATTTGGCATTTAGAAAGTGAGAAGAAAATTCGGTTTGCAGCTCTGAGATGTAATCCCTAAATAAATCAGGCAAAAAAGGTACGTTCACTCAGGTGTCACTTACCTGTTGAGGATGGGAGTGAGTCAAGTCTCATGAAACTGATCTGCAAAAAGGGTCAGTTTTGTTTCAAATGCAGAAACATTGCCCATCAGAAAAAGCAGATTTTTTTCTTTGTCTTGAAGTTTAAGATTGAGTGCATTTAAGTGGCTTGTCATATCAGTGAGAAAAGCCACGTTTAGCAGGAACGTCTCTTCGTCTAAACACGACAGTAAATCCTGGTGATCCTTTGCCTCCAAAAATATTCGTACAGCAGACAGTAGATCCATAAACCAAACTAACACTTTGTCTCAACTCAGCCATCTAACTTATGCAAGCATTGCCAAGTCACCACACTGTGTTTTATACTCCTCCACTAAAATTGTCTGTTTCAAG